TCGGTAGCAGCTTTTATTAGTTTCGCTGCGCGAAGGTCAATGTTATTGGTCGATAGGGATGCAGCTTAAGCACTTCATTCCCTATTCGTACTAACTTTCGTCCATGGTCACACTTGACTCGTCGCTGAAAGAAATCGATTCCCAATATTTTCTCATAATCTATTGGGAAATCATCTGACACGACATACATCGTGTGCCGAATGTTTTGACCTCCGATTTGCACCGTTGCTCTGAATTTCCCGATCGTGTGTTTTTGTGGCCTGTTATATCGGTGAGAGCCATCTTTTCCTCTTTTATTTTGGTCTTTTTTATATTTCCAAATTTTACCAATGTCACGGTTGCACCTGAGTCTAATAGGAAATTCAGTTTTCCTTTTTGCGTTTCTTTTATCGGCAACGTGACAAGATTTAGGCCAGTGCTCATACGTGGTTTCGTCAGCACTTGTGTAACCTGACGCGCTCGTCCGGCGCGTGCCGTGTTATTCCTTGCGTCTTCTTCATTTTCGCTTTCGGTAAATAAAGACTCTTCGTCTCCGCTCGGATTTTGCTCTGTTTTAATGGCAGTATTTTGTCGCGAGGCAGTATTTTGTCGCCGATGCCCTCGCACCAGTAAGCATTATAAAGAACCCATACATTTATTCGAGCCGACCAGGCGTTCGGCGTAACGTAAGCAAAATAATTATATTCAAAATCATATTGAAACTAAGGACGTTAACCGCGGCGTACCGAGAACAGTCACGCAATAACCATCGCCGAAATGCTTAGCGCTGACGCAGCAGCGCACAAGGGATAGTACGCGTGACGACAAGCCGCGGACAGTCAGTCTGTACGTCCGTGTTGTCATTATCGGTCCCGACGATCGTTAAAAGTTAAAATACTTATGATAAACAAGGTGAAGGTGTTTAAATAAATTAAGCTGCGAAATAACGTAAAATAATAAAGTTGTTATATTCTCAAAATACATCAGTATCGGAGTTATTCATTTATCAAAAAGTGAAGTCCTGTTCCCCCGCGGAGTCGGATCCTCTTGTGCCCGACACCCCCGGGCACAACAAGTTGGTGGCAGCGGTGGGATCCGC